GTTGAGGTCTCCCCTATAAACCATGATTTGTTGATACGTTGCGTGACGGTGCAGTTTCCGTAGACTCACAAGGGTAATGGGACTGAAATATTTGCATTTGCCTTCAAACTTCTAGGCTTTTGTACATTATGCTTATATTTCCCCACTAAAATGCTCCGTCTTAATGCTCCATTTTTCCCACTAAAATACTCGGTCTTCCCCCAAAAAGTCACTAAAATGCTCGGTTAATGCTCATACATAGGGTTTTTTAATTTTAAAATTTTTAACGTTTTAACACAATCAACAGCTCAGGGTTCTTAAAAAACATATACGTAATATAACTCAACGTATGTAATAGTTTTAATAATGATCTTTTAATTTGATTTGACTGCCGCTGACCTCTCCTTAGTCTCCACTCGGCTGTATTAGGGTGGCATTTGAAAGTTTTTCAATTTCAAGTTAAGTCTTCGTTTTCTCGTATTCGGTACGGGAAAACAATTAATTTTCCGGGAAACTGCCACTAAAATATTCGAATAATGCTTAATGCTTTTGCCTCACTAAAATGCTCTAAAAAAAATACTAGAATAATGCACAAAAGCCTACAAACTTCATGCTAAACATTTTCACATTTCAGCCTGGTCATGTTTAAGCACAAAAGCTAATTTCTAAAAGTATAATTTACATACAGTTTTCTAAGCTGGAAACACGGATATTAGCTGGCATTTGCAATCGCGTGGTGATTTATCGTAAACAAACTCCGCTCAACCAGCGACCGATTCTAATATTTCCGCTGATGAATAAAAGTAGAAAAAATTTATATTGCCGTTCCTTGGTTCGGGCTTACTCTTATGGCTTTAGAGTACTTTTCCAAACAATTTCGGCTGAATACAGACCGAACTATTCATGGTGGGAGTAGCCTGCGTAGCAGGCGTATAAAGGGGAGGGGGTGGGGAGGAGGAAGAGAATTCGGGGGAAAAAAACGGAGGAGGGAGGGGAAGGGAAAAGGAAACGCCTGCTATAAAGACCCCTGTTGGTTCATTTCTGCGGTCGTTGGCGGCCGCAAAATTCTGATTGGTTAATCGGACAATAGGACGGGTTTGGAAGTAATGCGAAAACAACCAAAATGGCGGCCGAAGTGGATGTGCTAGCGAGAGCTTTGGCTGATTTGAGCGTCGTCGCTCGTAGTGAATTCAAGTTAAACAAAAAGAATAAGAAGCGGCTTTTGTAGCAGGCGTTCCCCTCCCCGAATTCTCTTCCTCCTTCCCCACCCCCCTCCCTTTATACGCCTGCTAAGCAGGCTATGGTGGGAGGGGGGCAGTATCTGCGTAGAAGGTGAGGCATCTCCACTGGAACTAATCGACAAATCCCGGAACAAATGTAGTCAAAACACAGCCAATGAAATAGAACTGTTCCCACAGTAAACATCCCCAAGCCAACGCGATTCAAACGTGGTGTTCGTGAACTGAATTAATGATTGTCCCAGTTATGTAACAAACGCGAAATAGCACGTCATCTCGCATCTAGGCTTTTGTACATTATGCTTTTATTTCCCCACTAAAATGCTCCACATTAATAATCCATTTTCTCCACTAAAATGCTCGGTTTCCCCCCAAAAAAGTCACTAAATTGCTCGGTTAATGCTCATACACGTTTCAACGCAATTAACAGTTAAGAGTGCTTAACAAAAACGTATACTTAGTATAACAAGTTAAGAACAACGTATGTATAGTTTTAATACACCAAAAGATAATTCTCTAAATGATCTGTTGTTCTGTTAATCATTTGTCCCGTTTCAGTGATCCTGGATACTTAAGTGAAGAGGCTAAGTCTTCATTTTCTCGTAAATTTTTTTGTTTTTCTATTTCCTATGGAGAAAATGTCAATTTTCCTAGAAAATGCCACTAAACTGCTCGAATAATGCTTTATTAATGCTTTTGCCTCACTAAAATGCTCGAAAAAATGCTAGCATAATGTACAAAAGCCTACTCGCATCCCGACGAAACAGGCCACGTTATTGTTGATTGCACGGTCCAGAATCACAACTAAAAACCAAACCGTCTCGTGTGCACGTGCTTTGCGATGATGCCATTTGTTTTCGCTCGTGCTCGGCCTGCTGCGAAAAACAAGCCTAACCTGCAAAATGTATTTACTTCAATGACTCTGTAATCTGTTAATCAACACCTCCCC